GGGCGCGCGCGCGCGGCCGGGGCAGCCGCGCCCCGCGGGCTGCGCGTTTCAAACGCCGAGAGCGAGCGAGGGAGAGGGAGGGCGGCGGGAGCGGGGCCGGCCGGGAGCGGCGAGCGAGGAGCGGTGAGTGTGCGTCCGACCGGGGGGCTGCTCCGCTGGGCGATGGGTACTGGGCGCTGCCTCCCCAGCCCGGTGCCGAGTCCCGCCGGTGCGCGCCTCCCCGCCCCGCGGGGCTGTCTGTGAAGGCAGTCGGGGCTGTACCGCGCGCACCGACCCGGTCCCGCCTTTGGTGGCCGCCCGTGGTCCTTCGCTGCCAAACGCCTTCCCCGGCCCGCAGCGGGGACTTGACTTCTTCGCGAATAGTTAAACGAGGTGATTTTTTTTACCTGTTGGAACTTCCGTAGTTTAGTGGGAAGTTTTCTTTTTAATGAGAGTCTTGCAGATTTCTGTAAGAACCACATTTCTGATGTCTGGTACACATTGGTGCAATGTGTAACAATACAGGTATCACCTTTAATTTTGGAAACAGTTTATTTTTTAGAATTTGTGCCTTCTTTTTTTCCATAGCTAATTGGATCTCATCTGGGTTTCTGCCTGCTGTGAATATGTGTTTCTCTCTCTTCTTTGTGACACCGAGCTTAAAAAAGGAGAGAAGTGCTGTCTTACTGGAGAAATAAAGTCGGTGCAACAGAAGGCAAAATGTCTCCTTAATAGTTGTTCTGTAAGAATGAGGGTATGAAATTAAGGTTTACATAATATACCTGATAATGGTAATAAACTCTTAATCAATTCAGTCAGTTATCTAATACAAATATTTTTGTGCTGAAGTACTGCAGTAAGGAGATACACTTGAACAGTTAAAGTTATCTGGTGAGTACAGCACTAGGGAGAGTCACGTAAAATTTCAGACATCAGAATCAGCCTCCTAAGTGATAAACTGTCATATAATTGGGCAGAAAGGAATGCATGGTTGTTAAAAAGTGTTTCAGAGACTTGTGTGTTTGATCGTATTGTTGCCTCTTGATAATTTTTAAAGAAGCTAATTGATGCTTATCAAATGATACTTTGAAGATGTTTTTAAACTGTGTAGTTTGGGTCTTTTTCGTGCTAAAGCCTGTATTGTGATTTGAACCCAAAATTGTGCCAATGTGAACATCCGAGTTCCAAGAATGGGAACGCAAACAGTGCTGGATGGGTACTGGATTATATTTGAATCATAACTAGTTCAAGTGCTCCCCCAGAAGTTTCTGATAGTGCACTTCTGTCATTTGAAAAGTGAAAGTGTATTTTTGTGAGTTTGCTAACTGTCCCTGAACTGTAATTTGCCTTGTGTTTGTTGGCTTTTTTTCATTGCTAATAAAGGCAAACCTGCTCTTTAACTTAAAAAAAGCCAGCAGTTACAACTTCTGTTATCCTTCAGTAACCTTTTTCTACCTTGCTTTTGTATTTTACCTGAAGAGATGCTTCAGGCCTATAAATGTGAATGCTAAAATCTAGTATTTTTATGGGCTTTGGTTTTATTTTTAACAGTAGTAGACTTAATGTGGGTGGGTGTATCTTCATAATGTGTTGTTCTGCTGGTTTATTAAGATAATTTAATCAGAATTATTACATCATTTGATTCTCAATGATCTGAACTTGCAAAGAGAACATTGTCTATTCATGCTGCTTTCTGACAATTAACCTAGCCTTAAAAATGAAACTTAGATGAGCTATAAGTGAGTTTAATAAGAAATGTGAATCTTCCCACTGGAAAAAAGCACTTTTGTCCTGTTGTTACTTATTCCTGCTATGTTGCAGTCAACAAACAGGAAGGAGTTTTGGTTAATTCCCACAAGAATACCAGTTAAAAGTATGAAGCTACTGAAATTTACCCAGAATCCAAAGAAGTGTTAAAGCTTATTTTCAGAAAGATTAAAAAGAAGGTACATATCATTAATAGTTAAGTAGTTATTAGCATTTTTATTAGAATTGAAGCCTATCCCTAATGTCTTACAGATATGCTCCAGAGGGGAAAAAAACCCAACTTATCTCAAATGTTTAATTATTAAAATAACGTGTCTTGATTAGTATTCCATTTGGGTTTTATTTTTACAGTGAATAAATGTGTTGTTTTCAGGTAACTACGGAACGAAGTTACACCTATTCTGGTTTTATAGACCTAAACTCTAATATTTGTATACTTGCCTGTGCTGCAATTATGGAATTTCTAAAACTCTTAATTGTTTAGCAGGTGACTGGTAGATGGGAGAGACCTGTTCTTGAAAATGTCAAGAAGAAAGTTGGAGAATAAAAGCCTTTCTGGCTTGTTAGACACACCTCTGCACACAGCAATCAAGACAGAGAATTTCCACAATTTTTATACTCTCGAATCAAAACAGCTAGGAAGGTAAGATTGTTCCTATGTATTTTATTTTAGCAGGAGGAGTTTCTGCTGTGGGAGAATTCTTTGTAGAGTGATAGAATTTCTCTAGCAAACTTTTATAGTAGTAGATGGAGAATGAAGTATCCTTCCCAGTCCTCTTCTTTGCAGCATCCAGTGGGTTCTCTAGGAACCAGGAAAAAAGGTGCAGTGAGACATAAGTTGCCAGCCTTTTCCACATCAGAGAGATGTTTTCATAGGCATGTAGATTTGGGATTATCTTCCTTTTCTTGTGTTTCCCCTGTCTAGTCACATATCAGATTCCAGGTACATGGACTGAAGAAGAGATGGCATAGAATGACACAGACAAAGAATGGGGATTTTGAATTGGTTGATCCAGTTGTTTGGATGAATTTTCTGAAGTCCATAAAACCTTTTCTCTCCCCACCCTCAAGCAATTTCAAGCAACCTACTGTTTCAGAGTAGTTTTGCAGCCTTCTTCCCTTGCTCATGTTTGCAACAGTAAAATAGGAAATAACAAAAAACCCTAAGCTCTTGGTGTTTGTGATCCTGTTTCAGACATACGAGTGAATGTGTTTTTTGAAATCACTGTGTTAGTTCACACCTTGAAAATATTTGGTGGATTGGGTGTAAAGCCATGCAGACATAATGTCATGGTCCTGTGTCCACGCTCCTTGGAACAGAAGTGACGTGGGTCAGTCTCACAGTTGTGCCTTGCTGGGCTACACAGCAACCCTTTGCACCTGCAGCTTGTTTTGTCAGCAGAGATGTTCTTCTCTATGTGTTTTTGTAAGCTCTTTGGCCTTCATTGTTCTCTTGGGTTTTTTCTGTTGTTCTAGCATGTGCTTTATCTGGTAGACTTTTGCAGAAGTGCACATTGCAGCCCATAACTTTCCTCTTTTCTTAACTATTGTCAGCTCTGCTTTTGAAATCTGGGCTCTGCAGAAGCCCAGTTGATATGCACCATCCTCTAGAACTCCAGTATTGTTAAAAGGCTGGATTTTGTTGTACATACTTGTGAGATGACATCTAAAACAAACAAAACTATGGATTTTTCTGTGGATTCCAGAACACTGGATTCTTTAACACTTTGTTACATGCACAACCAGGCATAACGAAACAAGTGCCAAAATGCAGAGAAAACAGAAGCAGAGTACTATGTTTTCCAAACATACTTTTGATTTTTCCTAGCCTGTGTGTCTGTTTTTAATTTTTCAGTGTATAAATGCTTCATAAGTGATGTAAAATCCATCTTTCTTTGTAGCCTGTCTAAAAGATTCAATATGTTTTTTTTTTTTTTCACTTGCGATTTTCTTCTTCCTCTTCAGATTATGTAGTAAATAGTTCTTTTGTTCTCTGCTTAAGCTTCCCAAGTCCCATTTCTTCCTCCCACACCCTTATCTGCTAGGTCCTTTGGTATTTAAGACACTGACTCACGAAGCTGGCAGGTTGGGTTCTCTTTAGTGGGTTGAGTAGTTTTGTCCCTGGTGTGTGCATGGCTTGGCTTCTTCTGAAGCTGTTAAATTTCTGTGGTTTATAACTTGAGATATGAAAACATCTTGAAATCAGTTTTTCTTGTAAAACTGGGCTGTGAGGAGGGATGGTTATGCAGCTGCTTTGCAGGCAGCAGGGAGTGGGAACTACTCTGCTTGCTTCGGTGCAGCACTTCCGACCTGACTTCTTTGCATTTCTGGGGCAATTTCCACTGCTCTAAAAGAACTGTTCTGTCTTAACTTTGTCTTAATTGGCACACTGCAAATTGAGTATAAACAAGTGGAAATTCTTACATCATCCATCTGGAGATGCCACTGACCCTTCAAAGCTGTTAAACCCGCAGCACCCAGGGGGAATATGGGCCAAAACCATCAGGGAAGATCTTACTGTTCTCATGAAACTCAACCAGTTCCCCTTTGGTAATTTTAGAGAAACTTTTGTGGTTTGACAGGGTGATGTGATGTTAAAACAAGAATGTAAGCTGGGGCAGGGAGTATTTTCAACTTTGGTATGTTATGAAATTCATCTCAATAACTTAAAATGTTCTGCAGTAATTAGCTGGTTTAACAATTGGGAAAGAACCTGGCAATTGCAGGCTTACAAATATTGCTAAAATGAAGAGTGTGCATGTGTCAGACTGTAAATAACTTCCACCACTGAAATTAATTTTTCCTTTGAATTTTGTACTCTTGCCTTTCTAAATCTAATGCTTTAAAAAAAGGACAGAAAAATCCTACAACTAATTTATGTAGAAATCAATGATGACAGCAGCTGTTTTGTTCAATTTTTTTCTAAGTAATTTATAGTAGTATGATTAGAGGTAAACTTTACGTGTTTAATAATGGAGGTTTGTGCAGACTACTTAATATCTGGTTATTTGCATATGAAAATCTTACTTTTTTTCACGAGATGCTCATACTTTTTTTGATTAAATATTGAAGTCTAGATTTTTTTTCAAAAAAGGCTGAGACACACCTTTTTTTTTCTGTTAAGGAAATATTCCTTTTAGGCATTGGGGCTTTTACACCAGAAAAAAGGCAAAACAGGGCAACTTAGTATTTTCTACTGAAGTAGCTAATTTAGTTAAAAAAACCACAGCTCAAATAACTCATACTGAGCTGTTCCATTAAGTTTTTTCTTAGTATGCTGTGGTAACAAACATATGAGTGGAAAGGCTTTTTTTTTTTTTTTTTACATAAGTGTAGATCTTTGTGCATAGTTTTATGCTGTTTTTAGAACTTCAGACAATTTATTTTAGCCTTTCAAGTTTGTTTTTTTATAAATAATGTTTTGTATCATTTGAAAACACTTTGCAAGAATGCAACTAGGCATTTCTGGGAATGCAGTAGTAGTAGTTATAACATTTTGTTTTTTCAGGAGTTTATAACTTGGCTTAAAAAACTGCAACTTTTTCCCCCTAATTTTTTTAAAAAGATCAGCTTCGTGTTTTAATGACAGTATGTGAGTTTTTTTAAAAACATTTCTTTACCAGAATACATTTTTTTCCCATACCTAAACAGTTGACTAGGAAATAAAGCAGCACACTTTGTCTAACTGTAATTGAGGAAGAGAATGCTAAGTATTGGGTGTTTTTCTGCTAAGATGTTTTTAAATGTTTTGCAGGTACCTGAGATTTTTGTAGCAGTACCACGTGATTTGTGGAGGGAAATTCTCTTTATGACTTCTAAAATTTTCTACACTGAAAACCTCCCTGACCCCCTGTACATATAAATATGCTTTATTTTCTGTGTTCATTGATTGCATTTCACAGGGGGTTTGCTTTGTTCATTACTGTGTCCTGTAGGTGTTCTGATGAGGTTGAGGGTTTTTTAATATAGTATTGCCAACCTGAACAAAGCCCTGAGCAGCCTGGTAAGATGTCATGGCTGGTCCTGCTTTAAGCAGGAGGTTTTGAGAGACCTCCAGATGTCCTTTCCAGCTGAGTTATTCTGTGATCCTACAGTGAGAATGTTCCTGTAACTCCATATCTGATTTAGTGTTTACCTGGTCTGTATAAAGGGAATTTTACTGAGTCTGACCAAAGCTTCATCTGCCTTAGTATCCTTTTTTGTACAGTGGCTGAAAGATATTCAGGGAATATGTAAGAAAAGGCCAAGCATGGCATTCCCCAGTACATTTTTTTGTTTGTTTCTAATTATTTGCCATGCCCTCTTATTTCTAGTGGCAATTTCTGTGCTTTTTATCTCTTGGGTCGTAATGTTTTCCCTTTTATTTTGTAGAGGAAGATCTGCTGTGGTTAGAAAATGCATAGCTAAATCCACAGGCCAAGAGTATGCAGCTAAATTTTTAAAGAAGAGAAGAAGAGGTCAAGACTGCAAAGCAGAAATTCATCATGAAATTGCTGTACTTGAATTAATGAAATCTAATCCTCGCATAGTTAATCTTCATGAAGTCTATGAAACAGCAAATGAAATCATCTTAGTGTTGGAATAGTAAGTATGCCTTCCTCACATGTTCCACATTTGTAGTTAAAAATCTTTAAATATACTAATTTTTCGCATGAACTGCCTGAATGCCCAGAATTACAACAGTGCACTGTATATATTATGCTAGTATTTCATTAGGATATACTTTCTAAACATATTTATATTTTTTGCTTTAAGAGAGTTTCGGGCAAGCTGACTGGAGATAATGTTCTTGAATCCCATCAGAAGTCCAAAGTGCTTTGATGCATCTTAAATGATAAAAAAAAAATAGAATAGCCCAGTATTGATACCAAGTACACAGACTTCAAAGAAGCTGAGCACATCTATGCTCTGTGAACTTCAGTTAGCACTTGATGCTTTTTGGTGACTGAAGACTTGTAGTTGCTTTGTGGGTTCTGAGCTTCTAAATTTAGTAGTTTTGTTGTTTTGAAACTGTTTGGCTTTTGGAGCCGTTTTGTAAAAAATTCCCATATTTGTTTCAGATGTCCCTGAAGCTTCTCATTAGCTCTGAAAAAACAAGTCTAATTTGGGAATTGAATTTGAATTATCTCTCGTATTTGCTGTGCATTTTTGTTTGGAATGTAGGAAACAAAAAGGCAGATTTTGAAGTTAGATCTCTCTGGGCTTTAAGTTTCACGTACAAAGTATTTGAAGTGCTGTTAATGGTGGTCTGCATACAGCATGATAAATCCCCTCAAATTTTCCAAAGAATGTAGCTAGATTCTATCTTTAAAAGCTTTTTTTCCTGGAACTAGATGATCTCTAACATATTATTTGTTGTTCTGTGAAGGTTAAAATAATAAATAATGTAGAAGTCAAGACAAAGTCCAGATGGCAAGTTTTGAACTTCTGAAAGTGCAAGTTCACATAAAAGCCATACTGATTTTCCTGCTTCTGTTTCAGCTAAGCTAGCTCTCTCTTGCTTATTAAAGCTCTGTAATGAAACATCTTCCTTATGCTACATTGGTGTTCCTGGTGTAACTTCATTGTGGCGTTCAGAAGTCTTGCAGTAAAGTGTTCCTACTTTTGTGGGGATTACACACTTAAATTATATTCCCCTCTAGCAGAATAAACAGCTTTTCGTGTTCATTTCTCATTATCAGAACTCTGAAGCAGTACTTGAAAAGAATTGCAAGAAATGAGTTTATAAAATAGTTTATAAGCATTTCATCTTCAGCTGTCTTTTTCCCCCCTGCGCATGTTCCTTGCTCTTGTTATGTATTGTTGGGGTTTGGAAGATGTAGGAGTAAGAGTCAGTTTGTGTTAGTGCACATTTTCTAAATAAAGGAGAAATGGATGCTAGCTCTTAGTAAGGCCATCTTTGTAGAGGGAATCACTAAAGATGTGAATACTACTTCAAAAACCCCACCATGGAGGTTGCTACTCTTCTAATCTGAGGGCCAAAGGAAGAATCCAGTTACTTGGAGAGAAACCTGGCAGCTGTACTAACTCATTGTGCAGCTGTAATAATTTCCAGGTCTGTCTAGTTTGTGCACTGAAGAACTAAGGCTCTGCAGAGTGAGATCAGAGCTCTGTCTCACCTGCCATTTCCAGCAGTGGCTGTAGGAAGGTGCACTTTAGGAAGAGCTAAGGAGCATATAACTGTCCACTTTTCGCTCTTTACTATCTTTGCACTGTTGCAGCAAACAGAGGTATTGTACTGAGAATACCTTTCTGCTTATTCCTTTTAGTTTATGGACCTGTCCAAGTTTGTGAATGTGTTTTGTCCTCTTTTTGAACCTGGTGATACTGTCTACTTTGGTGTTAATAAATTCCAGGTGCTCATTATCTTCTGTGTGAAGAAATATTTTCTTTTATCTTTTTCAAACTAATCAGCTACATTCATCAGGTGCCTCCTAGTTCTTATATTGTAGGATCTGGTGAATAACAGTTTTTGTTTGGCTCTAAACCAGCTTTAGTGTTTTTGTAAGCATCACTTGTACACTTCCCCACAATCTTCTATCCAAACTGAAGAGTCAGTGTCTCTTTGGTTGTTTTTTTTTTGTTGTTGTTGTTGTAAAGCAACTATCTGTCCTCTTACTTGCCTTTCTTTGTATCTTCATTAATCCTACATAAATGAAGATACAGAAGCAGAACTACATGCTAAGGTTTTATACTGAGCATTGTTTTGTTGCTTGTTCTCAGTAGCCCCCCTGATGATAGCCAGGTATGTTGTTTTTTGTTTTGACTGCTCTGCACATTGATCCTGTTATTTCTTAACGATTGTCAGTCAAAATTTTCTGAGCTATCCCTGCTAGTTCAAAGTTTGTCATTGTGTGGGATCATCTGATGCTCTTTTACTCACTTTCTCTGTTGGTGCTGGACTTGCTTATTAATGTCTTCTTGAACTGGGAAGCCCAAACCAGGATGCTGCATTCCAACAGTGGTCTGGTGTGCTGGGTAGTGTCATTTGCCTCAGTCTGCTGGCTGTGCTCCTGCTATTACAGCCCAAGGTGCTGCTGACCTTTCCTGCACTTCAACACTAGCTGTCTCTGAGGGCTCACAAATCTTTCCTGCAGAGCTTTCAGCTCTTTACCCATCTGAATGTCCACCCATCCAGGCCATAATGCAACTTGGATACAATAATACTGTGGGAGACAGTGTCAAAACCTTGTTAAAGATGGAGTAAATGACATCCACATCTCTTCCCTCATCTACATTTTGTCATGAAGCCAGCTAGAGGAGACATTATGGACACCTCACAGAGCAGGTTTATGACTGTGTTTATTTGTGTTGTCCATCATCTAACTTTTTTATAGATTCTGTCATTTTGTTAGCATTGAAGATTAGGCTTCCTGATCTGTAGTTTTCAGGTAGCCCTTTATTCTTAAGGGAGAGAAACTTCAGGCAGTTTGAGCAGGCTGAGTAATGATTTCAAACCCAGCCTGAAAGGAAACAGCTGATGCTGTGGCCAAGGGTAGAAGTGTAACTAATAAACCACGTGCAACATGGTTATTTCCATCCTGCTTTACACTGTACTAATAGGGTTTTCTGGAAGCCTTTTTTGAGGAAGATGAACTTGAGACACTGTGTAAAAACATGAACCTTGTCAATCTTATTTTTGAAATCTACCATTTCTACACTAAAAACAAAGTGACAGAGCTGAGTCCTGCTATTTCTGAATATTCTGTGTCTACCAGAGTTCTGGAAGGGACTGTTCAATAACTGACTAGGCATCTGTATATTTAATCAGCAGTAGCATGCTAGATTTTCTTCCTGGTACCTCTCTGAGACTTCCATCAGAATGGCAAGAGGCAAGTATGCAGTTTCCTCACTCCAGAAATATTCCTTAGCAGTCTAGCTGTTATTAAGTTGTTATTACATTTACACCACAGCCACATCATGTAAAAAATAATGATTTTTACTCCTGAATTCTGAGAATAGGAATACTGCTGGGCTTTCTTGCTTTGAATTGTTTATGAACTGGTCTAATGGAAGAAATTTATATTTGACTTGAAAAGAGAGGCTTCTTTGGTTAAGGAATGATGATAGAACTCATCTTCTTGAATGCATCTTGGCACTTGCTTATAGGAAAGCACGCTTGAGGGTAATAGAATGTTATGAGGTTTTCAACCAAGGTTCTGTTTTGCTGTCTCAACTGCTTTTGCTGGCTACTAGGAAAGAAAAAGCATCATCAGATTTTTTTTTTTTTCCTTTTCTATGTGCTTATATTATGTGTTTTGGCATAAATATGTAAAAAAAAAAGTAAAAACAATATTTCCAGCCTCTCTGAGATTACAAATATATATTAAATAAATATATATATATATTGCTATATATAACATTTTTCCTCACTTAAGATTCAAAATTTAAACTTAACACATAAGTGTTCTTGAATGTGTTTCAGTGCTGCTGGAGGAGAAATGTTTGACTTGTGTGTCCCAGATCTGGATTACAGAATTGGTGAAAGGGATATTGTAAGACTTATAAGACAAATACTTGAAGGACTTTGCTGCTTGCATGAAAACAATATTGTTCATCTTGATTTAAAGGTAAAACTTTTTATTTTAGTACTTTAATTTATTATTACATTAAAGTAATTTGTTAAGTACATAACAAAGATGAAGATAAAAAGGAGTGTGTTAGAGATTAAATATTTTAAAATAAAATTTAGCAATAAGCATTGCATAATAGAACCTGCAGTGTCATTTTGTACATTGGGCTTTTTTGCAGATTGCGTTTGATTAATTGGGATTTAAATCTTTTCTATTCTAGCCTCAGAATATTTTGCTGAGCAGTGTCAATCCTCTCGGTGATGTAAAAATTGTAGATTTTGGTATTTCCCGGAAGCTTGAGAATTCGGGTGAACTGCGGCACATCATGGGAACAACAGAGTATCTGGGTATGGAAGAGCTGCTTCACCATGTCTGATTTGTGCTTTGGAGAAAACAAACAGTTCATGGAATATGCTAATGAATTTACCAGTCATTACTGGAGAAAGAACATTATAGGACAAAGCAACGTGTTTTGAGCTGTTCTTTTTTTTAGAGTGGTCAATGAATATTTGCACCACAAATTCCCAAATTATGTCAGTAAGTGCAGCTCTCAATTCATGCCGTAGCACTTGCTGTGATGCCGGCTGTTAACAAAAAGTTTGGGCTGTTAAATTCTTTTGATTAGAATTGAAATACAGCATTAGCATGCACAAAGAAGTGTTCTTTGAGTTAGGAATGTTGTTTAGTGTGATGGTTTAATGAGATTAAAATATTCCTTGGAAAGGGGAAGATTGCCCTTAACACTTGGCCCTCTGTGAGGCGCGGGTTTCCTTCATGATTTGCCAACGCTCAATTTTAAGAGCACTTCAAACTACAGTGAAGAACTTGCTATCTAGCATAGGCTAACGGCCACTGATCCTAAAATTAGCTTGGTCATCTGCTTTTGCAGTGTTAACATGCTGAAGGCTTTATGCATTCCCCTAAAGAAGCTATATACTTCAAAACCTCCTAGAAGAATGTTTTATGTGGATACTTCTGATTAGAAAACATCTTGAGACTTGGCTAGGAATAGACTTTAGGCCATGTAGTGCTGTTTAAGTGTGACTCAATTAAACATCTATGTGTCTAGTCAAACAGAAATAACTTTTTCGCACTCTTGTGGCTTGAAAATAATAAACTTAGCTATTGAAACTGCGTGTTTAGTCTCATAATAATGGTTGGCAAAAAAATGCCAGAAATGTAGTATATGATTCAAGGCTGTTTGAGTAATATATTTATTAAAGCATTTTTCTTCTCTCCATCTGTTTAGCTCCAGAAATCCTAAACTATGATCCTATTACCACAGCTACAGACATGTGGTAGGTTGTATATCTTAATTCATTTTATTGAGGTGAGGGGGGCCACTTAACAACCTAGGGGCCAGATCTGGACACTGATGCAGTTTTTTTCTGGCTTCCAAGAATACCTTGCTGCTGGACTGACTAAAAGAGGGAAAGATGGGAGGATATAACTCCGGGCTTACAAGGAATTACTGTAAATGGGTCTGTTGCACACTTAGAAGGGAATGCCAGTGGCTTCTGAGCCTGGAGTATAGGTATTTGTTCTAAGGGAACAATAACAGTGGCTGGATAGCATACTTTAGGTATTAGTTACTCTGGGATGACGGGCTTCAGGTATGAGCTTCTCTTGGACACTCTTTCCTCCTCACTTTTGTATTGTTAAATAATTTTATTATACAAATGATAAGAAGTATTTAGTTTTTTACTTTTTATCTTTGGGAAATACTTGCAGAATGAGTCATAAAAAATGAGACAAATACCTTAAAGTGATCCACAGCTTTATTTGTGGCTTACTAATTTTATGAACTATGTTAGTTTAAAGACTGGCTTTGAAATGTTTCCTTAGAAACATAAAATATTCATATGCTCTTCTTGAGCATCTTAATAATTAAAATTCAGTTTTAAAAGGTGCTGTGATCTAATTGCTTCTTTGAAATCCTTAACTTATAATAGTAACTAAATCTGTTCATGAATGTTTTTTTTAACCACTTAATATTTGTGTGCTTTTGTGGGAAGACATCAAAACAAATTGTTGATGCTCTACTCAGAATGACAAACACAGCAGCAGCTGCATTTTCCACAGTGTAGTGGGTACTAAGACCTGATCTGTCTGATCACAAAAACATTTTTATTATGCATCAGGAAACCATCTAAGATTTATAATAGATTGCGTGATGTGTCATGTTCTTAGGGAAAAACATCTGAGCAAGAGGATATTGTAGCACAGCTCGGATGTGGAACGTGCAGAAAGGTTGACTAAATCTCAGTCTTTGATACTTCATCCAGAATTGTAGTGAAAGGTGGGGTTTTATTTATATGCAGATAAGAAGGTCTATTTTTCCACTGTTCTGTCCTCCAGAATTGCTGTATGTTATGTCCAGGAGAGGGCTGTGTAAAAGTGATGCATTTGCTTTCCTAATAATCTAAGTGGAAAGAAAAGGGTGTATTGAAAGTAAGAAATTTTCAAAAATGCCTCCACTGAGATGCTTTCCTTGTGTGTGCTTGTGCATACCTGCTTGAATCAGATAAAACTGAGATGTCACATGATGCTTTTAATTCTCTAAGTGTGGGATACATCAGGAGGTTTGATCTGCTGCACAATAAATATGCAGGATATATTGTTCAGATGTTCATGTAGGATTATACATTGTGTTCTTATCTCAGGAACATTGGTGTCATTTCATACATGCTGCTGACACAAGAATCTCCATTCGTGGGAGCTGATATTCAAGAAACTTACCTTAATATATCTCAAGTTAACGTGGATTATTCAGAAGAAACGTTTGCATCAGTTTCACAGCCTGCCAAAGACTTCATTCAAAAACTTCTCATAAAAAATCCAGAGTAAGTAACAAACTCCTCCAGGTAACAGTCTTAAATTTGTGGAGCACCTAGAGAAAGTGAATGTTAATTTATGTACCTGATACCATGATTCCTTGAAAACCTAATGGCTGAATATTCACCTAGCGTTTATTATCACCCTATTTACAATGGTCAGTATAAAACACAGGAGTTCAAAAGCATAATCATGTGCACATTTATATATACCATGCTGAAAACATTCCAAGGGAACTATGTTCCTTGTTCTGATGAAAAGCTTACCAGCTTTAGAGGAAACTGTCAGCTACATTTAGATGCGTGTTGCCACTGCTTAACCTTAACTCTGTGTTTTGTAGCAGCTGAGATAGTGCTGAAAAAAACAGTGATACTGATGCTTTAGTGTCAGTTTTGCTCAAGATTTCTTAACGTGTGTCAGAGTTATTTTAATTAAGTTTTTAGTATTTCTGAAATGAACTAAAGCAACTCTTCCCTTTTCTTTTTCAAAGGGAAAGACCCACAGCAGCGGACTGCCTTTCTCATTTGTGGTTGCAGCAAGGGGAGTTCGCGCTCTTGTGTGGCCCTGAAGAAACCTGTTGCTCTTCTCAGATGTCAGGACACACAACAAAATGCTCAGAAGAGCGGAATGTAAAATCCAGTTGTAATGGTACCTGTAGCGACAAGGAAGACAAAGAAAACATTCCAGAGGACAGCAGCACAGTCTCCAAACGATTCCGTTTTGATGATTCATTGCAGTATCCCCAAGACTTCACGACAGACTTCTTATGTTAATGTGTAATGCAGACTTTTATAAAATGAATTCAGCATAATCTGTTCCAGTGGTGAAAATAAGATTATGGCTTGCCAATTCATGTAGCATTGGCGTACTGGAAATGCACTTTGATTCTTTTATGCTGATGCCTCCTTTTCTATCCATTGCTGGCAGTGGATTTAACTCCTGAGAAATTGGAGTTGTTGTGCCAATAAAATGAATTATTTTTTTAAAGAAGATATGAATAAATATTTTTGCACTTTTCGAGTTCTAGTCAAAAAATGACGCTAGAGTGAACTAACTGAAACCTGAAAATGAGTTTGTTTAAACTCAACCTTTGCCAAAATGTGGTTGAATACATGCATGCTTTTATGACTTGCCTTAATAAGAAATTGGTCTCAGCAGGGAAACTGAATCTAGCTGTCTTACTGAACTTACTTGTGACCCTTCTCATCACTTTAAGTAGAGGCTAAAGTTGGTATGTTTTGGGACTGATAAATCTGTTGGGGTTGCTTGGAAAACTGTTTTCCCTCTGGGACAACTAGTAGTTATGGAAGTGTTTCTGCCTTATAGATCTGGTCCTCTTAGGGATTGTAATGCACACTGTGGTTTTGCTGTGTTGGATCTCTGCAGCTCTTGAATAGAAAATGGGTAGACTGTCAGTCCTTGTGCCAGTAGTCCTTGGCTTCTTACCAGTAAATTGTTTGAAGATGAGCTTCCTATGCTGATGTGAATATTTGATGAACTTATTAGTTTGCTGTTATAAAACCTCTAAAATATTATCATCTACCTGTATTGACCTTTTCCTTTTCTTAAAAAAAACCCCAAAACAACCAAAACACCTCCCTCCAAAAGAAAAACGGAAAATACACAAAGGAACCCCAAAACAGAAAGCCTCCTTATAGTTAAAAGTAGTAACTGAATAAACTGAAAATAGCCATTTTTGCCAGTGAAGCTGGAATTAACAACTTTTCTTTATGTCCCTCTAATGTAGAAGTGCAGTGCATCTTTGTCAATTATTGTTACCCCTAATGACTCAGCTTCATACCTGCTCTGAGAAATGGACTGCAGTGTGTTAGTATTTAAAGACAAACTACCTGATAATTGTTTTAAGGCTTTTAATTTGGTTTGCTCAGTGGTATTTTTTTTAAGTTATGTCCCTTCCACTTCCTATTTCTAGGCTCTTAGGAAATAATGCCTATGTAATGAGTCTTGACTTAGAGCAATTGCCAGTGGTGTCTTAAACAGCCTGAAACTAATACTGACAAAATAAATGCCTAATAGTAACAGAGGCTGGAAGTCTTTTTGTGCAGGGAATGTATTAAAACTCTTACAGATATTTTGAAAGTAAATGTCTCTTTAAAATATTTTTGGGATTTTCCACTCCTCAGAGCTTAAATTTAATTGTCTTTGATTTGGATTTGTTTTGTATAATAAAATACCACAATCTGATAATATTTTTCAAGTGTGCCTGTGCATTTGTCAATAATTAGGCAGATTGGTGTCTTGGAAAAATATATGATTGAGAGATGAACATAATGGTTGGTAGGAGGTTGTATTTTATCTTCCTTCACACAAGGAAAGAACAGGTTTTTTACAAATAGATTCAATATAAGGTATCACCATAGTATGTGGTGGAATTTGGGACTGTTTTCTTGATTTGGGTGACACTCGTGTCAACAAGTGAAAAGCAGACTAAAGTGTGAGGCAGGTGAGACTATCTTTCAGATTATGTTTGCCAGAAGAAGTAAAAGTTTTCCAAGACTTAATTTCATGTGAAATAAAGTAACAGTATATTGAGCACATTCAAAGCTCTGATGCCGAGGTATAAATGAACCACACTCAGTCCCCTCCATGTATTAGTTCTCATGTAGCTTTTTTCAGTGGTACTGAATGTGTATAGGATTATAAAATTCCTTTGCAGGAGGTGGTTGTTGGATTGCATTCAGGTACTTTATACTCTTAGTTTTCAAAGTCCTTGGCTTTTCTCAGTTGGAGTCTTATTTAACTTTTTTGGTTTTTTTCCACCAGCATCGATTCCAGTTTGAACTGGGTAAATTAAAACCACAAACTATTACATATTTACACAGAAGTTAAAGTTCACTTAAGGTGAAGAAGAGAATGTCAAAAATCTGTAAAGGTAAAAAAGAATGTTTGTAAAAGTGTTACACTTCCAAATTCTGCAAAAATATTACTGAATTGAAATTACAACTATTTTTTACCATCTGAAAAATCTGAAAGCATATGCCAGCACTTTATGACATAGTTGTTATTACTAAAGATTTTTATCACAGTATCTGATGTTTACATTTCTTACTACTTTAGAGCTAACTTATCTTTAAATAAATGAAAATTGGTCTTTTCCAAGGAATTTTAAGTTTTGAAGACTTTATTTGTACTTTATATAAACTTAAAATATACCTTGAGTCAGACTTACTTTGGATAAGTGCGTTTGATTATTTAAAAATACTATTGTGCATTCGTAACTTCAATTGAATGTAAATATATATATTGCAGGCAATTGTTAGACTGTCTTGCTTCCTGCCATATTACTGGGAATTTCCAAGTGTTAATGAGTGATGAGTAACATTTTCAGATGACTGAAGTCATACTTCTATGCAGTTCATGACCTTTTTATATTAAAAAAAAAAAAATAAACTTTGCCTTTTTTTTTCAAAACTTCTGTGTTTTCATTCCTTCACAGAATCAGAGAATGGTTGAGGTTGGAAGAGGCCTTTGGAAGTCATGTTACCCAACCCCAACCTGCTCAAGCCATGCCATCTAGGCCTTGTTGGCCAGAACGATGTCCACATGGCTTTTGCTCTCCAAGACTCCAATCTCTCTGGGCAAACCTGTTCAGTGCTCAGTCATCCTCACAATAAAAATATGTTCTTGCGTTCAAATGGAGTTTCCTGTGTTTCAGTTTGTTCCCATTCCCTCTTGTCCTGGCACTGGGCATCACTGACAAGAGCCTGCTGGTGATATTTTACCCTGTGCAGCCCATGCCCTTGTTTGCTTTGTGGAACAGCGCTGGCTCCTGTTCAACTCAGTGTCCACCAGGTCCTTTTCCCAAAGGTGTTTTCCAGCTGGATGGCTCCAGCATGTGTCAGTGTATGGGATTGGTCCTGCACAGGTGGAGAGCTTTGGGCTGCGCTGAACTCCATGAGGTTCCTGTCAACCCATTTCTCCAGCCTGCAGAGGTCCCTACGGATGGCATCATGACCCTCAGGTGTATCAGCCACTCCTCCTGGTTTTGTGTCCCCTGCGGCCTTGCTGGGGTGTGCTCTGCCCATCATCATTAGTGAGGATGTTAAACAGGACTGCCTGTGAGGATCTGGGGGACAGTGTCAGAGGCCTTGCTGAGGTCTCGGTAGGCAATGTCTGCTGCTCTCCCCTCAGTTACTGACCAGTCATTTCACTGCAGAAGTTTATCAGAAGTTGCTCATTGTGACTTCCCCTTGCTGAATCCATGCTGACTAACTGATGATTCATGAACTTGGCAGCTCACTTCTTGGAATTGTTTTATGTGTGTCTGGGTTTTATACATAAAAAGTTGATGTTCCTGTATGTAATAGTCTAGTTATATCTTGTGGTATTTATTGAGGTGATACCTTTTCTGTTAAATTCTAATAGCCTTGCTGAATGACCATGTGAGGAAACTTAAATGGAATGTTTGTTACACATATTAACCTCTTAGGGCAGTAATGGTACATTTGTTTCATTGTCAAGTAGAAGGCTGAAATAAAAACAAACAAACAAACAAAACCAACAAGTTGCCTTTAGAAAGGGAATTGCACTCAAAGGTGGTAACCCCTTGTTGCCTGGTTAATGCGTTTCCTCCAAAGGCACATTTAATTGACAAAGCTTTCTCATTGTTTGAAATACACAAATGGGCTTTCTTTTTAGCGAAAGAAACAGTGTATTCATGTGCTTGGTTTGGTGTTGCAGCATTAAATTCAGAAATTATCTGAATATTTGTATTTCCTGTAGTGTAGATTCTTATCAGGAAAGCTGCCTATTTTTTCTTTAATTTTTTTAGCACCTCAAGAAAACAAACTATTCTGTTTAATGGTGATTTAAGACAACTTGAAATTTCTGTCTTTTCAAAAGGCCTTCTAAGGAAGAAGACTTGTTAGAAAAAATGCATTATAATGGCTTTAAACTGAAAGAGAGTAGGCTTATATTAGATGTTAGGAAGAAATTCTTGACAATGAGGGTGGTGAGGCACTAGAACAGGTTCAAGGGAAATTGTGAATACCTGGAAGTGTCCAAGGCTGGGTTGGATGGGGCTTTGAACAACCTGCTCTAGTGGAAGATGTCCCAGCCCGTGGCAGGGGGTTGGGAAATATATGATCTTTTAAGTTCCTTTGCAGCCCAAACCATTCTATGATTCCATGTTAATAACTGACCATCTTCTTACCAGGACAGCTGTGCTTCTACTCTTGCCAAGTAAGGGAATTTCAGCTTGAAAAAATATTTTTTAAAACTGGGGCAAGATACAAGGGTACAATTATTGTGTGTTTGTTTCAGAAACCACTCATCCTGTGCATTAAGAACCTGGCAGCTGACAGAATTGAAAATACTGCTTGGCCCACTCAGCATTGGAGAAGTGAGCAAGACACAGAATGAGTCAGTGAGTAGATTGTCTACCAAATTAATAGTAACATTACAAAGCTGAATTGCCAAGTCATACCAGTGTATGAGAGTATAAGGAAATTTTTTAATAATTAAAAGCAGGTACATGGATTGTGACATAAAAAATCTTATCGGCTAGTGCAATGTAATGAATAAACAGCAACATAGATGTTATTAGTTCTCTCTAAGAAGAAAGTTGTTTTCTGATAATGAAAAATACTGTATTTACAAGGATTTCTTTTATAATGTTCCTAATATTAGCAATCTGTGTCTTTCCTCCTCTGAAAAGTACAGGCAGGTGTGCTATTTCCAGTTTCCTAATCAGATAATAAACCCCAAAATGTCACATTCTAGCAAAAGGAATCACAATGCCTGGTAGTGGATGGCAATGCATGCTGAATGTACCACTGCTTTCTGTAGGTATAGTTTCTAATAGTTGAAATAGTAAGGAGTTCTGTTTGCATGGTCTCCAGCTGGACTGTTACAGCCAGCACAGTGTAGAGCTCTCCCTATGATATGTTGAGTATGAGGGTATTTCTCATTTCAAAATCAAAACCAGACTCTGGTACTGGCTTGAATTTAGAAAATGCACTGGGAATTCCGAGTGATGTTGAACCTTCTACAGCTGGACAAAGCAGAAATACCCTACTGGTTCTTTGCTTGTGGTATTTTAACAGAGGGGGTTTTATGTTTAAAACTTGCTATCTAAACACTTAAAATGTTCTGTGTGCAGTTCACAAGATTGATTACAGGCCAGAATTGGAGCTCATTTATAGGGATTTTCCAACAGGGTAACTCTGTAACACATAGTGCTACCTTTTATGTGTTGCTTTTAAAACATCATAAAACCAAAAGTCATGACCTAGCCAACATGGCAACAGCTCTTTCAGATGCCATTGAAATCCAAAACCGGTCACAGCAGAGTGTTAGAAGTCATGCAAACCATGCCAGTTATTTAGATTGGTCAAACCATTTGATTCATGATTAAGGGAACATGCATTGACTACCAACGGAACTGAAGGAGATTTTTACTTTTATTTTTTTGTATTCTGTGATTTAGGGGGGTGGGGAGGTAGGTTGTTTAAATCCCAGGGTGTTGTGCACAAGATGGGCTGATGCCATGATGTGGCACCCGAAACACCTTTGGTTGCTGTTGGGGTTTAGACACCCCAGCCCAGCATTTTAGCTTACTAAGAATGATTTTACAAGCACAGCTGAGTTCTTTGCCATGTTTTGATAGGACACCTGTCCCAGTGCTTTGCTAAAGACAAGCACCTGAATTCAGCTTCTGACTGAAGGATGGGTTTTATCCCAAGGAGCTGATTGCTGGCAGTCGTGTGGGCAGAGGGGAGGCTGTGGGGCCCTGTCCCGCTGAGGTGCAGGAGGGCTGTGACTGGAACCCTCCTGAAAGATCAAGCTGCAGTGTCTGTGCCGTGAACTCCACAAATCAGATTTTTAGAAGCAGCATAGTCCTCCTTGGAGCTGCCCAGATCTCCTTTAATAAATTTAGCTGTGCAAATTTAAGCAGACGTTTTTGTTTTGGGCTGCTGTTCCTGTTCTGTTTTCAGAGACAATAATGCTCTCTTACAGGCACCCCTTTAGAAACCACAAAAATTAAGTGTTTAACTTGGTACAAACTACAAAATGTTACGTCATTGTCCTGGTTTCGTCTGGAATAGAGTTTATTTTCTTCTCAGTAGCTGGCATAATGCTGGGTTTTGGACTCTGTGTGACAATAACATTGATAACACACTGATGTTTTGCTTGTTGCTAGGTAGTGCTTTCTCTAAGTAAAGGACATTTCTGTTCCCCATGCTCTGCC